ATCTTTTCTCAAGTTTGATATTTAATTTCTTGCAAAATCTAGGCAGATCCTTCTTCCACCCCCATTTTAGATTCTTCTCTTTCTGTTAGCCTTACCATTGCCCTAGTTTCAGTCCTATTCCCTTTCTCCTGGACTACTGCATAGGCCAGTCAGTCTCTTTGACTCATTCTCTACTCCAACACAGTGTGTATCGTAAATGAAGATATTCCTAAAACAGACTCTGATTGTGTACCTTGTATCATTGGGAGACTTCAGTTGCTCCTGATTTCTTTCAGTGAAAACTATTTACCTACTAAGGCATGGATTAAGAAGTGAAACCCTAGGCCAAACTAATTGAAATATAGTGCTGGCTCTATTACTTAACTCTTGTGTGATGTGCAGCTTGTCATTTGATTGCTGTAAGTCAAAGTTTCTTCACCCATAAAGCTGGAATACTAATCTTCTCACAAAATGGTTAGGTAGATAAAAGTAGGTAAATTATGAAGAACAAAGTAGCAGCTACCAATGGCCAGGGAGATAGCTCAGTACAATAAGCACTTGCCTGGCAAGTGCAAGGTCCTGAGTTCAATCCTCAGTACTGCAAAAAAAATTAGCAGTTACCTAGCAGATAGTATATTGTATCTTTGATTAAATTTATACAGTATATATTAAATATGGTAATCACCAGAAATACTTCAGAGATTGAGATAAACTGTACAAATAACTGCCTATAATTTACTTAATTAGGAATTTTGAAAGTTAATATGTATGCAGGTAAAAATTGAATTTCAGTACTCTCTTCTTTTCCCTTGAGTAGGGAGCTAAGGATCATAACTGGCGAATGGTTTTATGAAGAAAAAGCAAAGCGTTTCAAGCAAGTCAATGTTCTAGGCACTGATGTTGTCCGACAGTCAATCTTAAGAAGAAGCCCAGGTAATTATTTGGTTTCAAAACTCTTCTAATCTTAATTTTGGTAGATCTCTTCATTCTCCACCATGTTTTTAGCAAATAAGTACAGTTGAATCTTCTGAATTGCTTTGATCGTTTCACAACTTAGTAACATAAAATCTGAATCCACAATTCATACAAGAAAGAAGAGGTTAATTGAAAATAAATTTCATAATGATTTTCCATGTATCTGACATACTGAGGTTTTTTTAAAAGCCACTTACCTTCACAGTTCTCTTTCGAATGCACTTCTAGTATTTTACTAAATGTTTAAAAAAGGGACATAATAAGATTGACTCATGGGATAGATATATAGTTACATTCTGTTAATGAATAGAATGATTTGTTCTAATGGTGTTTGTAAATAGGATATCAAGTCCACATCTTATACAGCAATTAACCACTAAGAAGAATGTATGCAGTGTGTTAGTTATTGAAATTGTCCTAGCAATTTGATTTGAAACTGTCTCCTTGCTATCTGTTTATCAATAAAATTATGGAAAAAAAGATTGACTCATATTATGAAAAAAATCTTGATTTTTTCAGTAAGTTTTTACAAATTTCTTTCTCTTCAAGTCTTTTTTTCTAATCTTTGATTCTCAAGCAAGCATAGATATTATGCACTGAAACCCATTCCCAAAGTAGAAGCGTTTAGAAATGCAAAAAATTATTTGTCACAATGGCTAGAATAAGTTAAAACACATAGTGAGCAGGAGCCAGAGATGCTAAATAACCTAAAATGCTTATAGTACAGCTGTGATCAAGGCACAATTATACTGGAACCAAATGCAAATAATACAGTGGAATGCTTCTCAGTACATTTACACTATAATTTATTTGACTAGGTATTGAATGAAATTTGTTTGAGGGCACATTTCTCATGCATAGTGTAACAAAAGTAGAACAAGCATCTTTAAGAGTATCCCAGGACTCAGCGGCAGCCAGGGTGGTTGTGCAGGATGACACAAAAGAAATATCTTCAAGCAAAATTGCCCCAGTTTTTTAAGGGAAGACAAGATTCAACTTTGGAAACCTCCATAAACAGATGAAAATAAAGAAGTTGGCTTGGCATTAAAGGACCTCGCTAATAGATATTCTAACAAGCTTGGGTGTTGTGAAAATGAAGTAGAAAAGATGATAGAAGAAATACGCTGCAAAGCAATTGAGCATGGAACAGGAAATGAGAATTACAAAACAACTGGAATTGCTACAATTGAGGTGTGTTTACCTTAAAGACGTAAGAAAGACAAGAAAAACTTGCTGGAGACCCGACTGCACATCAGTGGCTGAGACCTGTGGTCCAAAATAACAGACACCTTTGGATTGCAAGAAAATTACATCAAGATTGTCATAAATAAGAAGTTGCTTCAACTAGGGAAGAGCCTAGAAGAGCAAGGGGTGACCCACAATGTGAAGGCCATGGTGCTGGAGCTCAAGCAGCCTGAGGAGGATGTGAGGAAAACCTCCCGGGAAGAGGAGGAGAAACAAAATGAGGCCGAACTAAAAGAAAAGTGAATTCACAGAACAAAGAAAGGGCTAGAGATTCTGACAGAGAGCTGAGAGGGTAGTGGACCCTGAAACCACACCCTACCTGGACATAGCAAAACAGATGGGCAGGTCCATATGCATCCCCCCATCACAGAAGAAGGCCCTTATGTTAGCCATGGGATATCATGAGAAGGGCAGAGCTTTCCTGAAAAGAAGAGAATATGGAATCGCCTTGCCCTGCTCCTGGATGAGGCCGGTATTTCTGTGAGTGCGGTCAAAAGCTGCTGGACACCGTGAATAACTTTGCCATGCTCCAGCTAGACACTGTGTGGTGCTACTTCCAACTGGAGCAGCTGGAATGTCTTGATGACGCAGAGAAAAAGCTCAGCTTGGCCCAGAAATGCTTGAAAAATTATTACAGAAAAAAATCATCAGCAATTTGTTCACATAAAAGGCAACTGTGAGAAAGAGAAGGTGTTGTTTTTAAGACTTTACTTGCTTCAGAGGATCTGAAACTACCACAGTGGAAATGGAGAAGAGGCCCGTGAGTATCTGAATAAGGCACGGCTGCTCTTCACGGAGCTGCACATCAACCCCTCTTAAGTGCACAGTCTGGTGGCAATTGGGGTTCACACCCCAGAAAGCCCGGTTGGCCCTGCTCGCCTGTGATGGCAATGTGAACCACGGAGCCATTCACATCTCCAACCGCAGAGAGGAGCTGGCCCAGATTAGGCGAGAGGAGAAGAGGCGGTGGCACCTAGAGAACATCAACTCTCTGAAAGGCATGACAGGCGCTGCACCAGGCCGGCAGGGACCTGGACAGAGCCCTGAAGATCCTCATGGTAACCCTCACATGTGGTAGCTGAACGACTCTGCTCCGGATCCCAGAAGCCGCCACCGAGAGAGTCCTTCCCAGGAGGGTGTTATCAGCTGGTGTACATGGGCTTTGACTCAGCAGTGGCTGAGACCGCGCTGAAGGTGTTCAGAAGCAAAGTCCAGCTGGCAGCACAGACCCTGGCACACCACGGCGGCAGCCTTCCTCCCGACCTGCAGCTGCCAAAGGAAGACTCCTCATTCACACCATCCACATCCCCTTCGGACTCCGCAGAAACCTCTAGCGCCTCCACAGACGAGGACATGAACACAGAGCCTGTCAATGAAGTTCTGGAAAACATCCCCGAGTACGAGGAAGATTATCTTGACTCAACTCTGGAAGATGAGGAGATTATTATCGCAGAGTGCATGTCCTACGCAGAAAATATACAGTCGGCAACCAAATAAGCCATGAACAGACATAAGGGCACTTCTGGGTATAAATTCTGTCATGAAAAGCCAAAAAACAAAGAAAGCATTCCTAGATGTAGTAGATTTCTAACTGGTGGTCGACTTATTATGCTCAGCTGAATTAAACTAGTGCGGTGCTGGATATGGGAGACCCACCTGAGGATTGTTGCCAGCAGCATAAAGGCAGAACAGGAGAAGCTGCTGGAACGCTATTAGAGATGCTGTTTAGACAAGCTGTTGGAGTGTTGAAAGCTGCTAGTTCTCTTGGGCTGTTCTGCTGGAGGGCCTTGTCATGCTGGTTTTCCCGATGAACCATGGAGGAGCTCGGGTCCTCTTCTTGAGCATTGCTTCCTGGCTCCAGAGGGGAAGATGATGCACTGCTCAGCCTCATGGAGAAGCTTGGCACATTGGCTTTCCTGATGGGAACTCAGCTTTCCTCATCGCTGGAGGAGCTTGGGACCTCACTGTTGCTGAGGACAGCTGTAGTATTTTGGGGGGAACTCTAGTGCTTACCCTCAGCATTACTTCCTAGCTCCAATCCAGATCCCTCAGCCTGCTAGCAAAAATCCTTTATCCCACTTGCATAAACTTTCTAGCTTCCACCACTGACGTTTGGGCCTTTCCAGCACAGATCCATGAAGCTGGCCTGCGTGAGAGACTTTGTTCTGGTCTTCAGGCCTCCAGCTGGACTGGTGGGAGGCATTGTTGTGAGTTCTAGGTTTCCAGCTGGGCTCATGCAGGATATTAGGATCTAGGCCCTCAGCTAGATTCTTTAATATTTAGTGTGTGAATAGATTTTCTGCAGTTGTTGCATGTGACTCTCAGGTGATTCATTATAAAATACTATTATAAAATGTGTCCTGTACTATCTTGTTCCCATTGCAATAACTTCAAATCACAACACAAAGCTATCTAATCATTCACAGATAGACTAGTGCCTTTGCTTTTAAGTCTAGTAGGAAGGGGCATGATGCTTAAACCTGACTCCAGTGCCACTTCTTTGTGGCACTTGCAAGGCATCAGGTTTGGTGCTGCAAAAGGAGAAGTAAAATAAGAATTAAGCAGAAAGATATGATCTGTTCCTTCACTCAAAACTCAGTGCCTTTCAGTATGTGAATTGACTCTCCAGGTATATACATAGATGTTCGCCATCTCAGGAAGCCTGGCTTATATGCTCAGAAGTCAAGGTATCCTTTCTTTCACCTCACACCAGAAATTAGTCCCTAGGGATGTAGAGCTCTCATGAACCCAGGATCCCTCACACTAAAAATGTCTGTAGAGGGATACTGTGTTTATTCTTCCAGTGTACTGTTTCTTAGAATGTTTCCCACAGAGAACTCCTGATTTTACTTCTTAGTAAACTCTGGGACATTCAACAAATTAGAAATAACTGTGTACTTGAGAATCTATAATTATTTTGTGATATGCTAATTTATAAAACTAAATGCAGAATGGAAATTTGCTTTCATCTCTGACCATTGTATACATAAATTTGTCTTCTGATTGTTTTAATGAGGATCTGGAGAAGTACAAAGCCAAGACCAAACCCGCCAGGATGGAGAAAAATCAGACACTTCACCTTCTGTTGGGCAGAAGGCCAGCCATGATGGTCCCAAGAGAAAAGGGTAAGACTCAGACTCTCCAAGGGAATTTTTGATATTTATTCCAGACAACTGTAAAATAAAGACTCGTTAGTTTCTGAAGCCCAATGTCACTTCAGTGACCCAAAGGAAGTCAGAAACTCAGTGGAAGAAACATTTTATCATTCTAGAAAGTACAGTTTTAATTATGTTCAATGTTAGATAAATAAAGGTCCCTGCTGGCATGTGCATATAAGAGATTTCCGGGCTGGAGAGGAGATAGCTCAGTAGAATAAGTGCTTGCCTGGCAAGTGCAAGGACCTGAGTTCAATCCCCAGATCTGTAAAAGAGAGAGAGAGAGAGAGAGAGAGAGAGAGAGAGAGAGAGAGATCCTTTCATTTAACATATCTCCTCTTGCACTAAATGGTTCCCTTTATTTCTAGATAGAAGGATTCATGTCAAGTTCAGCATTGTCTAGGCTGCTTTTGTTGTACATTGTCAATGTCCCTCTCTAAACTGAATACCAGATTGGGGAGCTATCTCAGCAGTCTAAGTGCCTGTCTGGCAAGTGGAAGGACCTGAGTTCAATCCCTGGTACTGTGACAGAACCCTAGGTAAGCAATGCCAACCACCAAAACTGGGTACAGTGGCACACACTTGTAATCCCAGCACTGGGGAGGCAGAGACAAGACAATCACTATGAGTCTCAGCTGCATATTGAGACCCTGTACCAAATAAACAAATAAGTAAATAAATAAAAAAACAGAATACTGATATATGAAATCCCCAAATCAAGGATATATTATTTGTGCTTAAAATATGATATCCTATGGGAGATAGCTCAGTAGAATAAGCGCTTGCCTGACAAGGGCAAGGCCCTGAGTTCAATCCCCAGTACCGCAAAATAATAATAATGATAATAATAATAATAATAATAATAATAATAAATAAAATAAAAAAATTAAAATTATTTAAGGGAAATATCATATTTGGCCAGATCAACCTAAATCAGAAAGCAAATATATGTGTAAAGTATTAAAAGTAGTGATGGACAATACACAATGGGTCAAGATGCAAGAGGGTACCAAAGAACTAGGGACAAGTGGTCCCCATCAAAGAAGAAAAATTGCCCCCAAATGCAGACTTACAAGAACTAAAGGTAACCTGCTACTTCAAGGCAGCCATGCACTTTACCTTTCTTTCTGAGGCAGCTTCTTGGTCAGCTTTGTGATCAGTGCAGAACTCTAATATGTGCCCAATCACATGATCTTTTCCAGATACCTTTGCTTCATCCTTTCAGCAGAAGCCAACATGAAATGCTGATAGTGTCTAACCTTTATCTTGCTATAAAAATATCTCAGTTTTTTTGTAGTGTCCTGAACTATGGCAATGAAATTTAAGCATCATCTCACTCAGACACTCATGAATAAACACAGCCTTGTTAAATTGACAGAGATAAATAGGAAAGATGATCTAGTCTTCCAAATATCCCATCATAGGTATTTTATACCTCATCCCATTAAATCAAATTATTTCTCCTCGGGATTCCCACAGTGCTTTGTGCCTGTGCATTATTCCTCTCCTTGCAGTCTACCACCCTGCACATACTTAACTGTCAGCTCTTTGGTTTCTAGGCTAGTGGCTTCTTTGCCTTTGTGTTGTTACTAGCAGTGACTCTCTCTGCAAAAACAACCAATGGCTCAACTAAATAAGTAATTCATAGCTCACAAGTGCCATTAGGAACTATATTTTGCAGGCCCCAACACAGGCATCAGAGAGTATGTTCTTCAAGTAAGTGGGGCTTGGTGCCGGGAGACAGTAAGTAACTCACCGGCACAATAAATTATACAAATCCTGAATCATTCAAACTGTCATAGCATGAGCCTAATCCTGCAGGAACTCAAAGCTGGCATCACTTGTTCTCAGTCTTATGAATATATCTACTTGGGGGAAAACCGTGTACACCTACAAAGTTAGTAAGTGTAAAGAAATTGTGGGAAAATATCAAATGAAAATATAAGCTACCAAAAGCCTTTCTAAACAAGACAGGTGTCAATATATCACAAGAGATGACATAGTCAATAAATATCAAATGTATGGCTAGAAAATAAATGCTGGGGAGGGCACCAGAGCCATCAAGAGATAGCAAACTTTAAGTAGGACTAGATGTGGAGCTTTACAGATGGATGGAGTTGAAGCTATTGGAAGGGAAGAAAAAATAGTCCTGACAGCAGACACCTTAAGTAGATGTGCAGAGCTGGAGATCCCCATGGGGTGGTTCATGGAACAATAGAGACTGACATTATAGTAACTGCTACTCTCACCAAAAAATGTTATTTTCCAGTAGATTGAAGCCTCTGACACTTTGATAATGGCACAGTTTCAAGGTTCTTTGAAGCAGAGACAACTTAGCATATTCTATTAATATTCTGCTAGTCTCTTTGTAATCCATTTTGCCCTAGACAACTGTTGAATACAAAGTAAATGAACTAATCTCTCCTAACACCATTCCTCCCAAAATAGGGCTTTGGGTTTTTAAAGTAATTTTTATTAGTACATGCTTGTAGTACATAATTATTACATTCATTGTGGGGAATTGGTATATGAATATAACACATCTCAATTATTTTCCCCCTTTAGCTCCCCACCCCTTTTATGATAGGGTATCTGGAAACAGCTATGTTTTGGGTATACAGTATTCTGGATCCATAATTAAATCTCAGTTCCTGAAAATCTGTATTTTTAAGTTTCAAAGAATTTAGTGGAAGGGCTAGGGAGATAGCTCAGTAGAATAAGCACTTGGGTCTTGAGTTCAATGCCTGGTTCCATCAAAAAAAATATTAGTGGAATAGGAATGCAATCAAATTTCATCCAATCTGAGACACTCCATTATTTAGATTTCATTAGCATAGTGGAAATATCATGGAAGATGTAAAGGTGATTTCTACCATGTGAATTTATTCACTCATTCCATTAGAGTTGATAGGGTTCTAGAATATGCTAAGCTCATGGAATATGATAAGGAATGAAAGAAGGCAGTCACTGCTCTCATGGAGTGGCAGTCTAACAAGTTGTTACCTCAGTTTCTCCTGGAAGATTATCCCCTATTGACCAAGGTGAGTACAAGCTCCCTGTATTTAGCATCCTTGCAAATACGCCTAGCCCAGACAATATTGTCTTCACACATAGCAGTGGTAAGCTCTCAAAGAAGGTGATTTTCTGCATAGAAGGAATAAAGGTCAGACTTATCAAGTGTGATGGTCCTGGGATAATATCATAACCTCCTGCCTTACTCACTTGACATTTTGCTACAGAGGCATTGACAGCCTCTCAGAATCATTCAGCTCCAGTTCTCCTTTACTGAAGAGTTGCTTAATATATTAAAATTACTAGGAATTATATTCTGTCTGGGAGGTTTATTTATGTGTTTCTATGTGTATGTATATATGTGTATGTATAGTTCTAGGGACAAAGTCCAAGGCCCTGTGTAAGAGGATGCTCTATCACAGAGCTATACCCTAAATCAAAATTACATTGTTGAAATGATATTTTTTGAAATGATATTTTAAAATGCTTTGTTAGTTATCTTCCTTTTAAATTCACATATATATGTAATTTCAGATTTCTTCTTAGTAAATTCAGATCAGCTACCAGAGGAGAAATTATAACTCCAAAAGCTGAAAGTGGGCGGAGCTACAGCTTGGATTTAGACAGTCAAAATCTTCGGAGTTTAAAATCAACCGCTGGTCCAGAAAGGTAGGAGACTTAGAGATTGAACAATGGGACAGGTTGAGGATTGACTTGATGTAGTCCCTTCCAAACAGGGTTCTTAGGCACCTGTCAAGTCTTGCCACTTGGACAACTTTTGACACATAAAATAAGAGGTCAGGATAGTTTTTATTTCAAATTTTAGCTACATTTCTTTTGAAATTACAGCTGTTAGAATCATGAGTCATCTGTAGGGAGGAGATCATAGAAACCCAAGGCTGTAGTTCTAATGTAGATACACAGGTCAAATACATACTTTTCACTGATTTCTTGTTCTTTTTCTGCTTAAGGTTCTGAAAACAAAATTCTAAGAGTAATATCCATTTCTTGGAGCTTTTAAAAACTTTAAAGAATTTTGTCATTTGAATTGCCTTAGAGAAAATTTCATAAATTCCACTTCCTTCTAGTTCCATTACCCCTGCTTCTCTGTGACCAAGTGAGAGTCTTCTGTGCTTAAAAATGTCACTTGTCAGGAAAAGTAGAGAAAAATTGAAAGGATAGCCAAGGCCAGCCACTTCTAATCATGTTTGATTTTCTCTATCCTGTTAGAGCATGACTCAATGCTTATTTTCATGATTAATGTATTACCAAATATAAGAAAAAATATCTAACCTATTTCATTGATTTGTCCGAATGTTAACTCCCTTTAATTTGTCATGTCTTCAGTAACTTCACTAAGCCAGCCAGAAAAACTGACAGATATTTTCTTCTTTGGTAGGTTCTGCAAGGGAAATGCAAGGAATACTCTTAATTACTGAAGGCTTTTCCCTCATGGTGACCTCTGTTTCACCTTTGCTTATACTATTCCTACACAAAAGTGCTACTTGCTGTAAAACTATGGAAAAAATATAAGGAAGTAAAATAATCACCTATCATCCAGTATCAAAGGCTCATCATAACATTCACTATTTTCCAATTTTTTAATAATGCAGATAAATTCCCTTTATGGTAAAAAAAAAAAAAAAAAGATAGGGATGCCTAGAACTTACTGCAGAAGACCAACCCTTACATATAAGTGAGTCTGCCCTTATGGGAAGTAATTCTGTCTTCAACAAGATCCCTGCTATAGACACTATCAAAAAAAAAAAAAAAAAAAGAAAAAAAGTTCTTTCACGGCCTTTGGGCCCTGTTGGCTTTTGATTCCAAGCTGCCTGTCACAAGTCCCCACATGACTTCAGACCAAACTGCTTCCTCTCTGGCTCTCATCCTCCCTAGACACCTCACTTTTACCTATTTCTGGGTAGAAATTAAAAGCATTAGTTGTAAGCAATAGAGAGCAATTCTGGTCAGTTTAATCAGGAAAATAATTTATTTAAAGAGCACTAAAGGCCGGGGAGATAGATCAGTAGAATAAGTGTTGCCTGGCAAATGCAAGATCCTGAGTTCAATCCCTGACTACGCAAAATAAATAAATTAAAGAAATAAATAAATAAAATAAAAAATAAAGGGCACTGGGCTGCAGGTCCAAAATAAGGCTGAAAAACAAGATCCACCCAAAAACTGAGACTGGCAAAGGCCAGTCATGTCCCCATCATGGGAAAGCAGTGTGGACCGCGGCTGTAGTCCACGCTGTTGTAGATCCGCGGCAGTGCTGTGAGAATCCTTCACCCTGGATCATTGCCA